GGAGATTTCTCCTCCTCCCTCGTTCGTTCTTTCATTCGTTGGTTCGTTTTTCAAACGACATGGTCGGTGGTAGTGGTGGTAGTGGGATCGTGCGTTTCTGGAGTGGCGGACGGACGACAGTTTAGGCAGACGACGAAAGGGACTCGACTCGACTCCTCTCTACTCTCTACTCTGTCCTGTGTGTGTGCGTGTCTGTGTGTGCGACACAGGGCCACTCGAGCAGACGAGAACTAACACTGAAGACGGGAGAGAAGTAGTGAAACCTGTTGTACCTCTGCCTTCTCGCGGATTTCATTGGATACTTTCATACATGTACGGATAATAATTAGCATCTGTATAACCGAATCATTCTATTTGTTGCAAAATTTTCTCGATTTGAAGTGATTTGTAAGTGTAAGTTTACACTCCTGGTGGTTAATTAGTCAGGTGTGAACTTCGTTGTGGACATTGTCTTATTGTATTCCTGGAAAGTTGTTTCTCCGCCTTTAAATATAAATTAGATCTAGATCTAGATCTACTAATGCTGAACTAGATCTAGATCTAGATTCCTACATCTTTTTTTAAATCCTAGATCTAGATCTGGTATTGTTGTCTTTGTTTTTTCTGGTGAAACTATTGTTTGACGACGGAACTAGTCGAATCAACATTTACGGCAAAAGTTTAGGCTAATTCGAATAATCAGTGAATAGTTGTGTTATTGTGCGCACAATAGGTAGATCTAGATCTATAACTTCTTCTGATAGAATCTACATAGTTTAGCTAGAATGTAGATAGATATATTATGAAAAAAAACTTATAAGCCTGGGCTTAGGCCTGGTTTTGTGTTTTTGTTTCCGGTGAAAGTTTCGTGTGACATCAAAATGAATCGAATCAACAGGTGCTACAGAAGTTTAATTCGAATAATATAGATCTAGATCTAGGTCTAAACAATGAAGAGTTGTGTTACTTCTTAGACTTGGAGCACAGAATGTTTAACTGCAACTAGATCTAGAATCTAGATCTAAGATCTAAACTCTAAATCTAGAATGTATTATAGTTAGATCTAGATCTAGATGTTAAAAAAAAAATGTGTTAAGTTAATTAATTTGTTGGGGGGTTTTTCTTCTGGTGAAAGGACTGTGTGACATCGCAACGAATTGGACGCGGTGGTCCACCATTATACTCACAAGTTGGTTTAAAATGACATAATTTTACAACTGTCTGTGTTTGCTACGTTTGTGCGTGTTTTTTCATGTTCAAGTCAAAACGGATTATTTCGATAAATTTGTCGACATTTCTTTCTGGATATCAAAGTTATCGTTTGGTGAATCTACCCTGGATTAACCAACCCCTCGCTTGGTGGGTCTCGCTACTGTGGAGATCTAGTGGATATATTCTAAATCTGTTTGGATTTTCCCCCCGGAACAGCTGAGCGAGCGTTGGGCTACACGATAGATTGTTGTGATCTGTAGGCCTACTGGTGGACGGTCTCCCGTTCAGAATCAACAGGTGCGGCAAAAGTTCAATTTCAATTGGAAAAAGCAGTGAAGAGTTTTATTACTTAAGAGCTCAGTTGGTTTTTTAAATTGTGTTTGTTGTTGTTGTTATTGTTGGGGGTTATAGATTCTAGCAGTTTTTGCTGTTGTTGTTGTTGTTGTTATTTTTGTTGTAGTTCAGCTTTTTGTTGTTTTTTTTTTGTTTTTTGTTGTTGTTGTTGTTGTTGTTGTTGTTTGTTTGTTTTTTGTTGTGGAAAGGGGAACGGGGATAGTAAATGTTCCTTTCTTTCAATATTATGTGGGGATTATTACACCAAACTGGTCAAACTTTTATCCTCTTACCTTTGACGAACTCGAATCTAATCGGAATTGTGAATAGCTTAGGTATAGTCCACTTTATCGCGTGGAGTCGATTCCGAGCGAACGCGCTTGCTAAGCCGATACGGCTTCCCTGCTTGAGCTTATCAAGTCCCTTTCTTTAGTTACCAAATATTTGCGAGGATTTCAAGCAGGTGTGATATTTTTCATCCTATCGGAAACGGACGTTAAACCCCTCCCCACCCCCAACATACACACTCGCACTTAAATACACACACACACATGC